GCTCGATTCGATCAAAGCAGAGATGAAGAATGGGGTCCTGAAAGTGGCTGTGCCGAAGGTGAAGGAAGAAGAGAGGAAGGATGTGAAGCATGTTGCTGTGGAGTGAAATTGAGAAGAAGGAGATGAAAAAAAAAACTCTGTTTCATGGAGATCTCTGTTCTGGTTTTGCTTTGCTTTTAGCATTCCATCTTCTGACTTGGGAATCGGTACTGTTCAATAAAATGTAAGAATTTCCATGGAAGTTGTTGTAGTGTAGAAGGTTTTGAGAAAATATAATGACAGAATTTGGATTTTGTAACTGAGTGATCTTTGTGGTATTTTTGACGATGTAACACAAAAGCAAATGTTCTTGCAGAGTGCAGAAATTTCAGAAGTTATAGGGTTTATTATTGGAGATTTACTACTTTTGTTTTGTTTTATTTAGTTAGTTAGTATGGGTAAGATCCAATCAACTATCAACTTTTAGGTGCTCGTCGAGCTATTTTCGAATTGAATATTATAAATTTCTTAGAAGTATAAAAATTTCATTTAGTTGTATTTCTTCAGTCAAATTTATTTGAAATTTTGTTAGTAGTTGAATAAATATATAAAAAAACATACCAACTTGACATATTAACTATATCATTACATACATCAAAGAAGTTTTATTATCTATTACATCACATTCAATATTATTATTAGAGAAACAAAGTTATATAAATTCATTTACAGCAATAATATTAAACAAAGTTTTATTATCTATTACATTATAAAATAAAGCATTCAATATATTATTAGAAAAAAAAATTATATAAATTCATTCAATATTTTCTCAAGTAAAATGGAGAATAAAATAATAACTTGTCATCTTTGATCCACCAAGAAAATAGAAAAAGAAAAATGATGGGTATAGCGATAATGAAATAATTAACAGTTTGTGGTAAGAAAAAGGCCCAAACTCTAAAAAAAAAATAAAAACATCCTAGTAATAGGCTAAAACACAAAGTAACTGAAAAGTGCCTGAAAAAAGTCACAGGACTTCATATTTGAATATCAAAACCTGTGGAAGATAGAAGAATGTACTTCCACCTGCCTTGAAATACATTTTAAACTGCCTAACTCTTGGAATTGGATATGTAATATAAGTATATGTTTTGAACCATTCAAGAACGCGTTTTTCTCTTCTTTTATCACTTAAGGTTATTTTCTAAAGTTAAAATTTGATTTGACCAATTAATGTTTTAACCAATGATCAATATTGAAGGGTTGATACATTTTTACAACTTTAATGATTTAAATTTGGAGAGAAATATTTCGCTCGGGTAGCTTAAACATAGGACCTCGACCTAGGTTACAGTTGGATTTTATTAAATTAAGTTCAATTTTCTAATAGACATATATTAGGGATGAACTTATACCTTCAAAATCACTAAGACATAAGAAGATGGTGAAACAAAATCGATGAAAAATAGAGGCGCCTAGTTGGAAGAAGTTGTCGTATTTTTAGCTAATTCGAGGTAATTGGACTGGGTTTACATTGAGTCCTAACATACCAAAACTAACATTATCCTTGATATTTGTTACCCCAAATTCAATTGCAAAGTCACTGATCAACATCATTTTATTAAAAAAACTTCTTTTGTCTCCGAGGATCAATACTCGGAATATCCATTCTGTTTTACTACTTGTGACGGGTATCATTTATTTTTCAAACCAAAATCCTAAATAAAAGGACGATGAAAAAACGAAATAAAAAGATAGTCATGGTCATTCAATTGAAACTATTTATCGGTAGGGAAAAGACACGTTACTCCTATAACGTTTAGACAGGAGATTCATCAGAGCACATCGGTAAATGTATTGCATTTGTCGTAAGGTTATCTGAGTTATCAAGCAATTGGGGAGAATAATCATCTCTCACGGCATCACTAAAGCCTGTGATAGTTGCACGAACAGTGCGCTTAAGAGCAAAGATTTTTCTTAGCAGCAACAAAATATTGGAGGTTTAGGGAAAAGATTGAATTTAATCAACAAGAAGGAAGATCTCAGTTCCACTGAAATAGTTATCTACCTTACATCCATTTCAGTCCCACGCCAAATAAATAACAATGAAAGGGGTGAATGAGGTAATCTCAGCCGCTTTACCGAGTTTACGAGGTGAAGGAGAGGCTCCAGCACAGGTAGGTAAGGGCGAAGTCATCATAAGTGGTTGACTGGGTCTAGTCGGTCGGCGGCTGAAGGTAAATTCATCGGTTTTCGCTCGTCTTTCATGCTTGTCTGTATGAATTGTATAAGTCATTMGTTCGTCTTAGAGAATGGAATTAAGAATTCCATTTGCGTCTTATTGTAGGTTGGTTATTTATTCAATCTGGAATTTCATCTCTTATTTGATTATATGACAATAATTGAGTCGAAAATTAAGATCTCAAGATTTTACCCCTCCTCATTTGTTTTGCAAGCTCAAAAATCTTTCCCAGCCATACTTAGACCTATCCAAACCATATAACTCGTTCCAGTAAACTACAACTGCTATAAGTTTCCACCTTGAGGAGAAAGATGAGTTTGCAAAAGATTACGCCCTAAATAGCGAACATCAATTGCCACTACAACAAATGTCACATACAATAGTGTTAAAAAAAGCCTATCATAGACTTTCCATAGTGTCTTCGAGAGGCGGTGGTAGGCAATGGACTTTCCAATAATATTTTTTCATGTTATGCCAAATGTTATGAAAAGCATGTTTTTGATACCATAATTTCAATGTTAATCAATGTTATAAAATCTTTCCATAGCATTGTCAAAAGCGTTTATAGCTTTAAAAAAAAGGCTATGAAAGACATTTTATAGCTTAAATTTAATAAATGTTATTATGAAAATCGCATAGCATTTTTTCAGTCGATATTATGGAAAATAACTTACTTTTTTATAGCATTTTTCTTTTTTACAATTATGCTAATACTATTAAAATTAGATTATGCTATTATTAAATTTTAATAGCAGCTATAAATTGTTAGGACCATCATTTTAATAGTGTTTAGACCATAATTTTAGATAATTTTCATAGTTAAGCATGAAGGAATCTAACTTCATATCACGCTCACAAAATATTAAAAATTTTAAAATACGTATAATATAATATCTTTAAACTTCAAGTACAAATCAAACAAGTAAATATATATATATATGTAAAAGATCAAACTTTATTTTTGTTTTCACATGAAAAATAAACAAAATTAAATTCAAAAAGAAATTTGCTTGCGTCATGCAATCGTAATACCCATGACATCCTCAATAACTAGGATGCAAGCCTCCATAAACACGAATTTGGTTTTTTTACCGTATCAATCGAGAGAAATGTAATCGACCATCTTTCTTCGGTAATTACTTCTCCTTAACCAATTCAATCTAGCAGCATGCACTCTTATGGAGCATTGATGGTAAAGCTCTAATTTTACCAATAAACAATATTTCAAGCCAAAGTGAGCATAGTTCAGTGGTAATTGACATATACCTCCAATCATGAGATTGTAAAAAAACAAATATTAAGGAATGACAATAGAAAAAATAATGTTTTGTAAATTCCCTTGTCCCACATGGAAAGTTTTTGATTTGGGAGGATGCTTTATATGCTAATGTCTTTTAACGGGTTTATATAAGTTACTTGGGGTAAGACCAAAGCATATTCTACACGTGCGTTGCCACCATCCTTCACAAAATTCATACACAATAAGAATGAGAGCCTCCTATTGTTTTTAAACTTCACAAGAGAACATAAATCATAAGTCTATAACACAACTCTTTTGAAAAATAAATTTGCCAATGAATCTTTGTTAGCATTCCATGATAGTAGAATGAGTGATTTTAATAAAAGAGATTTTAGTATAATTGATTTTTTTAAATTACCATCCAAATGATACTTTAATCAATTTAAAGTGATTCCAAGCTTTCTTAAAAATCAATTTTTTAATTTGTCAAACATGATTAATGGAGAGGGAAATTATTTTGACAATCGTAAAAGTGATTTTAGCATGACCAAAATCACTCCCAAACACACCCTTTAATTGATCTAACAATCCCCAATAACTTAGAAAATGACTATCCACTACGATGGGCAATACAACATTTTCATTCAGGGGGCTTAGTTTAAGATTTAGCAAAAATAGCAAATACAATTTTTTATTTATAAGAATTATAGTTTTTTATGTAATTAATTTTTTTATTTATTAAAAACCTAAAAATATTTTTTTATTAATTTTTATTCATATTTGATATGAAAAATCAGAACACCGCAACACTGAACAACTAAAACCGTGGGCCGTCCAATGCAAAATTTCAAATTCAAAATTGTATAAAATAAGAATAGTCGAATCTCGGAAATTTGATGATATATAAATAATAAAAAAAGATAACGATATAACAATTTATATTAAAAATATTACTAACGACAACATATAAATTAAAAAATAAAAAAAAGTCTTGAAATTACCAGCACTAAATAGATTAAAGTGACAAGTAATTTATATATATAAATTGGAAAAAAGAAAATTAGGTTAAAAACTGTAGGGTAGGTATATAATGGACAAAAAAACTTGTATTGTCTCTCTTAACCATCATATTGGTTAAACATGTTGGTGAGGGATGAGTCATCATAAAAACTTTATTTTCTCTCTTAACCATCAAAAAAATAATAATAATAAGTATCAACCAAAACCTTCCATGACATCTAAATATGAAATAGGTAACATTGTAAAGTAGAACTCGTGACAGGCAACTTCATATTATCAAACTATGAAATACTATAAAGTATCATCTTCCGTTAACACTAATAGTATTGATCCCTTGAGATAATGAAGGAAAGGAAAGACACAGGAAGATATGGCAATTTGTAACATTTGAGAGAAAACACAAGTGAAAATGATCAACTAATTATAACATTGAGATTATTGTCATTCATCAATGACAAGACCATAAATAATTTAATCAAGGGGAGCACTTTAGACCATATACTGTATCAAGCTATCAAACATTTGTCCTTTAAGAAGAAAAACTTAGTAGTAAACTTAGTAAAGGCAAAGACATGACAATTAGAGAAAGTGAGACATTGTTCCAAATCTGGTATTCAGTAACATTAGCACAAATGGATTTATAGGTTTGAAGAAATAGTCATCATCGTTCATCGTTATCCAACAGTGTCGAGGACTATCGTTTTTTCACATTATTCTTACATCGCTAGAAAGTGATGACAATGACGTAAATGATCCATCATAGTCCTTTCGATGGCAATATTTTTGCAGTGTGAGTGCAACAGACAAATCGGTTCGATAATAAATCACAACACGATCTTATACCAACAGGATACAATTGTACAACATAAACAGCCCCACTTCTTCCTGTGAAAGCATCATGTTAAACTAATAGAACACAACCTCAAAGAATAACTAAATATGATGTTAGATACAACTATACAAAAAAAATAGTAAAAAGTTAATAGCAAATTTCCTCCCCTAATTCATTTCATGTTACAAGCCAAGACTTACTTGCGAGCTTGATCTTGTTAGGGCTCATTGTATCTGTCAAATAAAGGGTAATAAGAGGAATGAAGTTGCTACTAGATGACACTGGTTTCGAGAAATAATCTCGATAAGCAACTCCAGCGGCTGTTGTAGTGATGGGTGGCTTTAAATTTGGCATCACGATAGACCTTCCAAAGTTACTTGCGCTGTATATTAATATAGTTCATGACAAAAATCAACTACCAATAATCGAGCTACATAAATCCAAATATTTTAAAAGAAAAGAGGGTATCTTCCTAACCTTTCCCTAGTTATTATAAAACAATCACAAGCTGTAGATATATAATGGACAAAAAACTAGTTACCTTCTTCTAACAACTCCAGCTGCATGATCTTATATGTCTGCTATATAGTGTTGTCCCATACCTTAACTTCAAGGTTGCAGCTGGGCAAACTCGACAATCAGACAAAACATAAGTAAGAAAATATACTAGACATTTAAAAAATAAAAAGGGACTGCCCTTTCAAATCAAAGTATCCTAAAATATGAGAATAACCAAATATAAACCTTCTCAATATTCTGACAAAAATATATCAGCAAAAAGAAGGAATAGATGCCAAGTTGAACACCAACAAATAAATTCAAACAAAGTGTTTCTTAATGCAACACAGATATTTAAATAGTTTATATATCTTACAAGTGTATATGCTCCTTCTTGTAAGTTTATTTGTCTCCTGGAGATGCAGAGCACTTGAGTTACTTTTTGAACCAAAATATAAATACTTCATTCTTCCTGCAAAATAAACATAGCAAAATCATTTAATTCTTTAATGTGTATGCAATTTTAGAAATTCAAATTGAGCCATGATGTCAAAAGAATTATAAGGAGTTTAATGCCATCAATTCTGGATATTCATACAGAGATGACAAACAGCTCTAAAACCCTCTTAAAATTTTCAACACGTCATTCTGTCTCATGAAGGACATCCGACCTAACCGTTGAAATACAGGTAACAATGTCTTACTTTTGTTCAAATTATAGATGTAAATCAATATATCTAATTACTGGAAGGGTCTTGCAAGCTTCACTCAACTCAAGTACTTAATACCGTGTAAAGTTCAAAAGACGAGTTTTTGTTTCTTTTTAAAAATAATCTTTTTTTTATAAGAAACAATGGAGATCTTGTGTTAGTACTCACAAAAAGAACAACCTAAGCGCAAGGGTAAACAAAGATAATCTATATGGCATGTGACTCCATTCATCATGTACAAGGTAATAAGGCAAACATTGGTAAACAAAACTTAATTCGATGTTTGAAGTAAATTAATAGTTCAAACTGCCTGATAGATGTAAGCTTTGAATAAGCTACCTTTTCATCATAAACACTGAAAATTTCAAGATTTCCATGGGAAAGGGATGCAGATAAGGATCACGCTTAAGTCGAGAAACTATGACCAAACATCTGCAATAACATAAATAGTGATTAGAAAGAGAAAAGGACAGTTTTAAAGAGAACTAATAAGAATCCTCCACTAACCTCCACTTCAATGACTGTTCCCTGCATGAGTCTGTCTTGATATGCATGTATACCAGGACGAGCAATCTAATTTCATCTCTTCATAAAACCATGACTCTGCCAAAAGCCTCTTTGTTTAGTGTCCTGATGCTTGCCCCTCTCAACCTTTAAATTAAAGGCAAAACAAGAAGCTGCATACAATTATTTTCTTCACACAGGATGTGGGCAGCTGATTTGCATCTTTACCAATGAGGTGAAAGATTATCATATATCAATGCTTCACAAAATTTGAAGGCACGGCCACTTGAATCACATGCTCAAGAATATTTTAGTATGTTATGGTAAGCTAGTTTACTTGGGGAAAACCCTCTTTTAAGCATTGAATATGAGAGGGACAATGCATCAGGTACTCTCCTTCCTTGCAAAAGGCCATTTAGTAAAGTGTTATATGCAATTCTATCTGGAATACACCCATCTGCATTCATCTTATTAAACAACCCAATGGCAGAGTTAACATCACCTGCATGAATATGCCCATCCATAAGAATCGTGAAAGTAACCTGGTTTGGACACAACCCTTCATTTTTCATCAATTCCAGGTGATGATTGGCATCCAGCATCCTATCCATCCTACAATACCCACATATTATACTGTTGTACAGATGCAAGTTAGGCACAAGGCTTACATCTTTAACCTTCTGGAGAAGTCTCAATGCCAAGAATTTCATTTTCTCAATAGAATTTGCAGAGACTATTTCATTACTATCCCTTGAAACAAGAGTTGTTTCATGGAGCAAATGGAACAACATACTTTTTGCCATCTGATTCTCTTCCCTTAGCATGCACCATCTCTTTTTGTTGACAATTAAATTTTTGCAAACACCACTAACCAAGGTGATATAGAAGATAACATCAGGTTCAATCTGGCTTCTTTCCATCAGATCAACTAGTCGAAAAGCATATTCAACCTCCCCCATCTTCAGGAAATGATGGATAAGAGAAGTATACAATACAACATTAGGTGAAAACCCATCTCTTGACATCCTTCCTAGATATAAACATCCTTGATCAGTCATATTTTTCTTAACCAAGCCACTGATTAGTGCTGTATAAATATGAGAGCTTGGTGGAATAGAATTCTCAACCATTTTCTCAAACAATTCACGGGCTTCAAGAAGCCTTCCATTTTTACCATATCCATTGATCATAGTCAAATACAAATTCTTATCAGGATCCACACCAGCCTCAAGCATCATCTGAAAAACACCTTCTGCTTCAAAAATTTTACTTTTCCTACTTAAACAACCAATGATTGAATCATAAATAGCAACACTTGGTTTCAACCCCCTCTCACTCATCCTTTCCAGAGTATAATATGCTGCTTTTACATTACCCTGCCTACAGTGTTCACTTATAATAATCAAATATGTTGCAGTGTCGGGAAGCAAACCACAATCCTGCATAAGGTCAATTAGAGACATGGCATCCTTGAAAAGCCCCTCCTTGCAAAGACACTTAATTAAAGAATTGTAAGTAAAGAGTAAAGGCTTACATCCAAGACTAACCATTTTATGCAGGTAATCCAAAGCACAATCCAATTTTTCTATCTCACATAAAGCACTAATGACAATACTAAATGCCACACCTGCTAGATTCAAGTTGCTATCGAAAATTTCTTGCAGCAGCATTTCAATTTTTTTCTCCAAATTGCTCGATGATTGCAACTTCTTACAGGATGAGATTATAGAAGGATCAAACCCACACCCATTCTTTACAATTGCCTCTAAAATTGTTAAAGCAAGTTGAAGTTCATGTCCCTTTGGATACATCTTCATAAGGGTAAAGAACAGCACATGATCAGGTACGATTCCGCTGTCCAACATACTCCTAGAAAATACATCCACTTCTTCTAACCTATTATCCCTGTGAAGTGCATTGATCAAAACTGTATAACAATGCAAGCTAGGTGATAAGTTGCAGCTGACCATATTATTAAAAATTGCTAATGCAGAGTCAACTTTCCCTTCTTGACAATATTTATTTATCATGATGTGAAAAGTTACAACATCAGGTTGGACTCCCCACTCTTCCATCAGGTTATACACCAACCAACCCTTGTCAACTAAACCCAGCTTAACAAATCCATGGATCAATGTATTTAATGTATAATTGTCTGGCTTACAACCTATTTTTATCATTCTAAAAAAGGCTTGCATTGCCATTTTCATTTTCTTTTCTTTGCAATATTCGTGAATCAAAGAAGTATACATCGTCTTGTCTGGATATAGACCCTGGAACTCCATTTCTCTGATCAACAACTCTGCCTCCACCAACCACCCCCTCTTACAAAGACCATAGAACAGTGACTTAAACAAATGCAGTGTCGGAGGATACCTATTCGTGATTTGCATAATATCAAACAATTGAAGAGCTTCCCCCATATACTCCTTATAGCATAACCCATCTATCAAGACATTGAAACACCAATACCCCAAGTAAACACCAGCTCCATTCACTCGCACAAAATAGTTGAATGCCTCTAAAACCCTTCCTTGTGCACAAAGCTCCCGAAAAATAGCATTAAATGAAGCTTTACTTGGGATATAGTTTAATGAAATGAGCTGATCAAAATGGGCCAGTGCCTCCTCAAATTTTTCTAGCCTACAAAAACAGATGACCATATAATCCAAAACCAAAGGATCTGGATACGCACCTCCGCTTATAATTTTGTTATAAAACAGCTCTTCAGCCAACTGGGGCCTAGAAGAATAGACAAGCTTCCGGAAAAGCACACCATGGCTGGCCAAATCAAGCTCCAAACCCCGTTCAGAAGCGAAATCAACAATAGAAATAGCTTCACAAACTGAAGAAGATTGCCTTATGATTCGCTGTATCACCTGTTGCGCCGACGAAAACAAGCCCCGACCAATTAGCTGCTCTACTAAGGAATAGCATAAAGTCTTATGCTCACTAGCACAAGTGGAACTCAAAGTAGTTGGAGCATCAATTGGCACAGTACAAGTAGTCACCGATCTCTTGAATTTCAGCGAGAGGTAAAATTTACAGGACCGTCCCCATATCATGTTTAAAACGTAATGCTAGTGACAGCAAGGCATTAAAACCAAACTGAGTTGATGTAGTAGACCTGGCGACGAACAATGAGGACTCAGAAACATGAAGTAGCATAAAAGACATGGTCCAACAGGATGAAATTACAACACCAATATTCTATTCAAATAATGGCTATGCGGGATTAAATACAACTGACAGTGAAGAGGATCAAGATCAAGTAGAATCAATAGCATTTTAAATTAATATTAAATTCTTTTTAGAACAATTAAATTACTTTACCTAGTTAAAATTTATAAATTTTAGACTATATCTACACAAGCAAAATAATTAAATAGTTCCTGCAAAAGCATTCAATAAGCAATACGTAAATCGTCACGGTCTTTCTAAAACTAATTCAACTAATACAAATATTTCAAGTCCTAGAAACAAATATATATATATATTCACGTTTCTTTGATATTACACCTAAATTTTCTAACCTTACTTTAAGACTTTACACATCATCTCAACAATCATTGTTTGAAATCGATACTCAAAACGATTTTCTAATTCAATAATTTGATTTTTGAATCCTTGTACCTCAACTATTCTTTGTCGTTCAAATTCTTGAAGTTAAGACATCGCTCAAGATCTCATTCTCGTTCATGTCAAATGTACCATCAATCACTTGAGAGGCATATGATTTGAGTTCTGACTATAAATGTAAAAAAAAAGTTTAAAGACAAAAATAATATTTTTTCTAGTAAGACAAGAGTAATATCAAGTAGATCGTTAAACAAAGAATTTAGAAAGGAACTTTCACAATTTTATAGCAATATCAATGCAGATTAAGGCAAATCTGATATGCCAAATTATACTAAAGTTCTGATAAGCAAGCAGTTCATTAAAGTGGTACCATTTCTCAAATCTGAATGTTGCAAAAATGAAGAAGTAATATAACCTCATAAAATAAAAGGAGTATGATCGTTATGACACTGAAATCCACATTTCATTCTAAAACCATAAAATCAAAGTCACGCTAAGATAAAGCATAAAAATAATTCACCTCTCCACATATAGTTAAGGATCAAGATCCATCAAGTCGACCTTCGGTTCTAAATCCAAAGAATTTCAGAGTCCAGCTAAGATACATAAGCATATATATATAAGCCACCTCTACAGCCATACAGAGATCAGGGCAAACATAGAAACTCCTGCAGAATTTTTAAGCAGGAAGAGGACTGATCATAGATACTAAGACAGTATTGAACAAGAATGCATAAAAGTTATATGCATTGAACAAGAACTAAATGTACAAAATACCCTTCAATTCTCTTCAATTGGCTAAGTTAGAGGAGATAGAATAAGTACAGAAGAATTTGGATAAACTACAACAAGAAGAGGTATAAGCAACTCTCCCAGATTTTCTCCCATTACCTCTATTGAGACCATTTAGCCAAAATAAACCAAATAGTATGAATAGAACTACTTCAAAGCAACAAAATCTTCCTCTAACTCAGATGCTTGAGACGTATTCCAATTTAAATCCATAGAACTCTAAAGTTCTTGAGCAATCATACGGTAAATATAAAACGGATTATAGAAACCTAAAACAGCGCTGGGAACTTTGTCTACAACACTAAGAAAAGGAAAACAAACCAATAAAATCTTCAAACCTCATTAAATTTCTAAGCTCCTTTCCGTGCTTAGGTCGATTTATCGTCCCATTTCAACCAAAATCGCCCAAAAAGAAAAAAAAAAAAAAAAAAAACAGATGTAAATGATCTCAAAAAGCCAATCGTTCGAACCAAACAAAAAACGACAAGGGAGTGCAGTGCTCGAAAAGAGAAAATTACAAAGAGAGAGATTCGTCCATAGACACTGAAGTAGAAAAAGAGAGTGGTACCGTCGAGTCGAAGGCGGCAAGTAGATTCAGAAAAACAGCCATTAATGGAGTGTGGTTTTAAGGCCCAATCATCGAGAAGTAGGATTTAGAGAGTAGAAATATAAACTTACGTAACGCCCTAGATTATCGCAGAACGTGCTCTGAGAAGAACACTCCCAACGAAACAACCAGATGAAAATGGAAATCGGAAATCGGAAGGGACTGCGAGAAGAAAATGGGAAAATCAGATACCTGAGAGATGAGGCACTAGGAAACGAGCGGCAGTGGCTCGACAGCAACGGACGGCGGCGGCTCAACGGCGACGGGCGGTGGGCGGCGGTGACTCTAGGGCTGGGTGGCTAAAGAGGGGCAGGCGATTGTACTAGAGTCACAATTATAGAAATATTATTATTTGTATTCTCAAAAAAATATATATTATTATTTGTAACAAAATTTTTTTTTTCCGACTGTTTTTAACCACCTTTGATTTAAAAAAAAAAAAAAGAGAAAGGAAAAATGATATTTTTTTTAATGTTTAATAACCTTAGTAAAGATATTTTTCAATCTTCCAAAAAAATAACAATAATAATAAATAAAAATCTCACTCAAATATACTATATCAAGATTAAATTTTTCAAGGTTTTTAAGTAACCTTTGATAAAAAATGATTTTTTTGACTTTGCTTAAATACCCTTGATCAAAGTAGCATGGATACTTCTCTTTCCTATGAAACTTTATTTACCCTTCCTCCAAACCTACATTCTTTTCTCAACTTTACTCTTAAAAGATTAAGATAACGTTCGACTAGTAAAAACTTTTTATCCATTCAAAAAATTACAGAAGCAAAACGCAATATTTTTTTACTTATTATTCTATAATGAATAAGATTTTGTTGTGAAACTTGGGTAGATAACAGCTTGGTGAATAAAGAATCTATTAGAATTTTTAAAAGTTGCAATTATCGAATTAAAAGGTAAAAATTAAAATAATATATTTGAATGGACTAAATTTTGTTAATTAAGTCGATCATTACATACAAATCACATATTGAAAAATTAACTTCGAATATAAAATTAATATGATCACGTTTCGCTCGTTTTTCAAATCAAGTTTGCTACGATATACCATTCATTCCATCTTAAGAAAAAAAATTGCACTCTAAGTTCTCGTAGTACTTTAAGAATTCTTATGCTCATCATAAATTTTTAATTAGAGAGAGTCTAGGACTTCAAATCTGTAGTATCGTGCTCTCATCTTCAAGTTATAAACACTATCCCCACTCCGTTTTCAATAGGCATGTGGTCAAAGTTTGATCTCCTCTACATTTTGGGAGTTGATAATTTTATATTCAATTTAACCCCTTTTCTGAAGTTTGAAATCATTTTACGTGTTTGGATAAATAAAAAAATAATTTCAAATCTATTTCAAATTCTGTTTTTATACCAATATTGGATCTAGGATTTTAAGTTTAAACGTAATAAATTCCTATTTTGCTTTTTTTTTGGTGAAAAAAATACTTTATCACTCTAACCTCATCTAGTTTCAAACTTTGATCCGTGGGCTGTAATTTTTTATTTATTTATTTATTCTAATACCTATAAACTGACTCTTCCACATTTTTTTTTATTACCATCCAAATAAATTAAGGTACATTTTTTATTTTTTTTTGTTTTTAATTTTCCTTATATCTCAATATTGTTATATTTTATATGTTTATGTTTATTCAATAGATTTTTCTTCTTTTTTCGTTTTGCTTTTGTTTTTTTAGCAGTAAAATAGCTATGATTAAAAAAAAAACACCTTGCTGTGTTTGAAATAGTTTGATTTTAATTCTTTTTTGTTTAATATTTGAATCAATACATTTGCAAGTTTTTTTTAGTTTAGGTTTTAAAATAAAGGTGATATTGACTGGTTTCAATTTTGTTAGGTTGATTTGATTGAATTGTTTTTATTTTCCAGGTTGAAATCAATAGTTCTATTAAAATATTATATTATTAATAATATAATATCCGGTAAATATTAAGAGCATAATATTAAAATGTTATACTTTCTTTACCTTTCTCGTAAATTTCAAACAAAAAATTTTAATTTCAATTTAAAATCGTGGAATTAGGAATTAGGAATTCTGAATAATATTCCTAATTTAAAATCTTGGAATTTTAAATCATTTTTTACCAATTCCAAACACCAAACGGAACATAACTCTCCAATCAAGAGAATTTTTTCCCCCTCATCCTTCCTTCGTAAAGACTACTCACAATTTCACACCAAGAGTTAATGTAGGTTTAATATCAAATTAGATAAGGTAATCATTCCAACAACGATGAATATTAGCCTAATGTTTCAAATTGAATACAAACACTTGTGCAATATATCTAATTTGAGCCAAAAATATATATATATATATATATATAATAAAGAAAAATATCAAATCTAAAAGCAATGGTTTGAAAGTTCGAGAGAGATGGATTTTAGAGAACCACCCTTCACTTGGGAATAATGAACATTAATTTCTTCTTTCTTGCTTTGAAACTTGATATTCCCTTTGACAACCACTTGGTTTTTTGTCACATCTATGGTAACCTCAATTAATTCTGCATATTACCAAAAATGCTTTAGAAAACCAAGTCTAATAAAAAATTGCAATTTATGTATAGTTCAAAGACAAAATTAATACCCCATTTCTAGCATATAGTAAAATGTGATGTACATAAATTTAGATCAAGGAGATAAATTAGAATTAAAATTTTAAATTGATAAAGAAAAATGAGTGCAAATGCATGTATATATGGTAGGTATGTATATATATACATGTACGTAGAGAATGTATGCGTATGCAAGTATCAACTTATCTAACCTTTTCTTAGCATATAATTTTCATTTTTCGTGCTCAAAATAAAGTTTAAGGTTCAAATTATATCTAAGTTAGGGTGAGTTTGGTATATCTTTTAATTGAAGCACTTTTTTCGCTTCTGTCGAATGCTTAAACTGTAAGTGTGTCAATTGTCTTAAAATAACTTTTTGGATGAGACACATCTCTCGAGTATATTTTCTAGAAAATGTTTTAAAACAATCCTATTTTTTTTAATATTTATTATCAAATATTCTAAAAATTTTAAAGGCACTTTTAGTTATCTAAGTCACCTTAACTTAATAAAAGTGTGTTTGTATGTGGAGGGCCAAAAAAAAGTTTATTAATAAAATTTAGAGTATTTGATAACAAATAAATATCATTTTACAACAATTAAATGGATTTATAATAATTTTTGGAAGAATCACTTTAAAGTTGATTACCCAAAAAATGATTATATAAAGTTGATTTACCGAGAATCACTTCACGGTAATTTGACCTCTGTAGAATAACTTTTTAGATGTAGTGTAACCAAACAAACTTGTGACTAGAATTACTTTTTAGAAAACTTAAACAAACACACAAGTATTTTAATTAAAATCATTTTATAAAAAAGTATTTTAGGAAGGATATACGTTTTTTTAAATAATTAAATTATAAGGTACGTCAAACTCACCCTAAACACACTTTAAATTAGTCTAGGTACTTTCAGCACTAACTATTTAGTTTATGGCTTTTAAAAATTTCAATAATATTCCTAAATTTTATAAATATTTCTATTTATAAAATAACAATAACGTAGGGGATGTCCTACAACTTTAAATAGACATATTTATTTTGAAAAAAATTGATAATGATATCTCAAAATATTTGAATAACTAGGGTCGTGGTTCCCAATAAAACCTTTATATTGAAGGAAAATTTACGAATATTCATGTAATTTATACTTTTGTTCATTTAACATTCTTTTAATCAATTTAGTTTATATTGGTTTTAAATGTTATTTTGTTGAATAAATTAATTTATATTAAGTTGAGATTTTTATAAAATATTTAATATTAACTATTACTTTTAATTTTAATTTGAACTTGAACTTTTTTTCACAAAGAAAAAAAAAGAAACTCATAATGATGATATTTTTATTGGATTATATGTTCCTACATTATCAAATTAGAAAGAAAAAAAATGAGAGTTACAATATTCATTTTCGTAAAATTTTGGTTTTGAAATATATAATTAATATATAAATTTTAAGAGAATTTACCAACCAAATAACTAAACAAGATCAATTCTAATAGATGTGTAAAGGGGAAACTCACAAAAGTACAAAAATATTGAAGAATTATTGGAAAAGGTAAAACAAATAGAAGATAGCACTCTAAACTTTCCATTCAAACAAAATTGGGATGTTATAAATTTAAATGAAGTTTATTTTATACGTAAATATCATTAATTTAATTCAATTATAAAATATAAAATATAAAATATAAAATTGATGAAAAAATATAAAATGAAAAAACGAAAAAAAAAAGGTAAAAATGTGATGAGAAATCTTAGAAACTTAACCCATGTCGCAAGAGAGAGCATCAAAGACTCTTTAAGATGCCTCTCGATTGGACATTCTAAGATATTTCAATATCTCAAGATGCCATTTGTATCCTGTAACGTAAAAATTCAAATGTCCGACCGATGAGAATCTTGGACTCCCACCAAACAATTAGCTCCTTAAAGAAATTTTTATATGACATGTTTACTATTTTGGCTGAATTTGATATGACGTGACAAATAGTTTAGACCGATTAATGGACATGTCGACGTAGCAACATATGTTTTATTAATAGCATTGACTACAACGGATCAAATAGAAGCATAATCCAACTTGAAAAGGTAGTTAAAACGTTTTAAAATTAGAAGACTAATAAATATACATAATACTCAAACCACGTGAATTAAATTTATAATTGAAGCTACCTCAAATTTGTTTAAAAAAGATTGAAAATTACATAAAGCATGCATGTGGGTGTAATATATTTTCGACCTAAAATTATGGGGAAATATATATTATAATGTGTAATGATTATAAAAATTTAAAGAGAAAAAAAAAAGGCATGGGTAAAAATAATAGGAATAATTAATTAATTACCAGACATTTTGGAAAGAAGTTGAGAAACTCTTTGGCGACACCTATTGCAACCCATATTTGCATTTATAACAATCACCTGAAACTATCAAACAACACAAAAAAATCAAATTAATTTCTTGTAATTCGAAAAAAAAAATTTAAGTATTTATCGGTCAACACCGTCTTTTAATGACCACCAATAAAATTTTAACAAGTAGGAGAAAAAAATTATATACTTTTTTTTTTGTTTCGGTTGGATCGTGTTAGTATTTCTTCCAAACTTGTTGCAATGAGATTACGAACTCATTTCTATTAGAATTGTTCACAAAAACATAAATCTATTTTTCGAAGAGAGTAAATAATATATATATATGTGTGTGTGTGTGAGAGTAAAAGCAATTTGAAATTCTTACCAAAGGAGGTGTTAGATTCTCATAAAATAAAAGTGATTGCTTCATTCGCTCCTTGTTAATGGTGGTAAAGAAAGATCGATAATTGGTATTGTTGCCACGGGTGGATTAGCTTTGAATCTCGTGATTGTTGTTTGAGACAAGGTTGGGATCAGGAATCTCGTTATTGGTCTTCGAGGCAAGGTCAGGATTAGGAATATCGTGATTGGTCTTTAGAGCAAGGTTGATAAATGATATCGTCAACACGTACTAGTGAATTCGCATTACCACAATCAAGCTCTAGAGATCTCGTGATTTCTTTGGGCCAAGATCGACAAGTGATACCGCGCCAACCCTGGTGGATTCGCATTACCACAATCACCTTTCTCTCGCTCTCAAGAGGCCATGGAGGTTTTTCATGGTGAAGAAGATGATGAAAAATTCCAAGTGTGTTCTTCAAGTTTTAGCCTTCTCTCTCTTCTCTCTCTTCTCTCTCTTCTCTCTCTCTCTTTCTCTATCTAGTTAGGCAGCCTAATTATATAGACCAGTTCAATTTTGCTTTTTGTTTTTCTAAGGCCTAATTTAAATCCTAGGGATGGAATAATATTAAATTAATCAATTACTTTAAAGCCTTAAATTCCAATGAAGCTTTTGAAAATTTCTTTTTTTTTTTCTTTCACAATCTTTGATCATCTCTTTTTCTTAATATATTCCAACTTGAGTTATTTTTATTTTTATTTTTCTAATTTCACTCTCTTCTAAATTTATAATCCAAAGAAAGAACAATTCCTCTCTCAACAACCCATCTTTCGTGGTTTCGTACAAGAATAATAATGAAGGCTATATATATATATTTTTTTTTTCTTTTTTTGAGTTTCATTTTCCTTTTCTTATCCCTTTTTTCAGGTTATGACTAAGTTTAATTTGTGTTAATCGATGTTTGTCAGATAGTAATGATTGTTATGATAATTTATGTCGAAAAGAAAAAAAAAATGATTACTGTGATACTTACGATTTAGTCATAATTATTAAAGTCAACCGGAGACCAATTAATTTTTTGCTTCTAAATGTGATTTTTGTAACTATTTCCAAAATAAAAATGAGTAGTTGCTAATATTTTAAAAATTGAAGTTATTAATTAATTTTTTCCTATATCATGGAAACATTTACAAAAATTATAAAACTATAGTACAAATAATTTATGAACCTAGATTGAAATGTATTATAGATTATCAACGTCACTCTCAAATTCTCATCTAATCTGAAAAATTTGTATCATTCAGAAATACTTGTATCATAACCCTTTCTCTTAAGTTCAATATATAATCACGAAAGATACAATGGGGAGAGGTCGAGTCCTTCATAATTCGTGTCTTTCGAATTGACATTTGTGATATTTTTAAGTGTATTATGAATAGGGTATTCTGGTTACCAATCAACTGAATTCTTCTCCTCTTTCTTCCTTCGACTTCTTTAGCCACCTCTGAATCTATCGTATTCAGGGGATTGGTTAATTTTCAAAATTTCTTGATAACCATCATTTTAATGTAATGAAAACAAAATTACAGAGAGAGGGAGAGATATGGGTTTTAACTTTAAAAAAGTATAAAGAAAATTGCTATGTTAAGTTATGTCATCGTGGGTTCATGTTCTTATCATCCCTTCCATCTCATGCCTCAATATATATTTTATTTCCCCCACACCATATAATTGGGGTTTAAATTAGGGTTTATAAAAATATTAATTCGTTTCTAAAGAACAAAAAGGTAGGAACTAAAAAAAATCAAAGTATGGGGAATTTAATACTTTAATTAATGGGAGTTTTTTATTAAAAAAAACAGTTAAACAATTGGGGATAACTCAATTAGTTGAGATATAAAGTAATCCTCTTCTCCGATATCAGAGGTTCAAATCTCAACCCACTCATACTTGATGATCTTGGAAAAAAAATGAATGTGTTGAGATCAAATATTCAACTTTTTTTTCCTTTCCTTTTCTTTTTTCAAGATAGGTTAATGATAGTTAATTTAGTGGATTGTTGCTACCACCCACTTAAACATAGTGAATAAATTAGGTAAACAGTTGTACGGTAACAATTAGATTTTTTTAAGTTCAATAACATCTGAGAGTGGAGATTCGAACTCCACCTTTTTGGTTGATGATATATGCTTTCACCAGTTGAGTGGTTGACCTAAAAAATGAGATTTGATATGTTGCTTCAAAGATAGTGTTTTCAACTTAAGCTTAACATCAATGGTTAAAATTAACTAAAGGTCAGGAGGTTCGAATGTCAACTTTCGTTCTTTAAAATATGTTCACTTTATTTTACCTAGTTGTCCACTTTTCCTTGTTATATGTTTGTCATGCGGCCAAATCAACCAACATTTGTAAATGGATACATAACCACCAAATTAAGGAACTAAATCATGTAATCGAGTTTTGTTTTCTCTCTTTTAAGTACAAGAACATGTGAAAGTGTAGATTCGAACCCACAACTTTTTGGTTAGTGATATATACCTGAATTAGTTGAGCTAGATTCGGGTTGATATATGTTAAAAGAGAAAAAATATTTACAGGTAGATAAAAAAATTTGTAAAAAAAAAGTTTTTATTTTTATTTTAAAATTGTTTAGATTTTTTATTTAAACAAAGTAAAATAGAAAAAAAAATTATAAGTTTAAAGTTCCATTTTATAAAATTAAAAATTAAAATTAAATCATTCGACCCGGTACAAAGGTAAAATATGAAAAATTCTCAAATTTTAATTCTGTTAAATTAAATCCTAATTTTATTATTATTATTATTATTATTATTATTATTATTTATGGATGATTTGGTTAATTAAATTTTATGGTAATTATGTAATTAAATTTCCAGGGGTATATAATATTACTTTTCCACCAATTACTCAAATTTAGAAGATCAAATTTTTATAATTAAAATGAGGGAAAAATAAACTTTTGGTTTAGTAGATATTTATTTGGTTCCTGAAGTTTTAAAATGTACATTTTTTGTAACTAAAGTTTGAAATATGTGTCTATTTAGACCTTGACCTTAGAAAAGGCACACTTTTTGTCTCTCACTCACGTTTTAAAAATTGTTTTAAATGGTCATTTGACCGTTAATTGACCATTTATGATTTTCTCCCTCTTCCTTTTCTCTTTCTTTCCTATTTCCAACCAACATCATTGCCACCATCGGCCGCCACCGTCACTTCACTTCTCCATATGTCGTCGTTCCGTGCCATTCGCACCAACAAGAAGATAGAGAGGGAGACAACCTTCTCTTGCCGACAACTGCAAAGGGAAATGGAGATCACCCTCTCTCTATCATTCCAGATTTTGAACGAGGGAGACCTCCTCCTCTTACCGACGACTGCAAAGCGGAGGGGACATTTCTCTCTCATTCGTTCAAGATCTAGAACGAATGAGAGAGGGAGACTGCATGATCTCACCAGAGATTACAAAGGAGAAAGAACAACCATGGCGCAACGACATCGACGGATGCATCAACGACACGACAGAGAAAGTGCAGTGTCAGCGAGCAGTTTGTCAGCGGTGACGGCTAGCTGGAGATGGGAGAGGGAGAGAGAAAACCACAAACGGCCAAATGACCATTTAGAACCATTCTCAAACCTCACGGATAGAAAATGTCGTTTTTGAAACTTATATATTTCAAATCTCAAGAACTAAAACTGTTCATTTTAAAACTTGAAGAACTAAATAGACAGCTACTTCAAATCTCGAGTACCAATTATATTTTTCCCTTAAAATTATCTCTGGTACATGCAAGGTTTAGAAAAGAAAAGAAATCAAATTTTACCCCTAAACTTAATAAGGTGTATCAAATTTACCTTAGATTTTTCAGTTTTGCCACTTGCACCTAAAACTTGGATAAGCATTGCAATTTTTACTTTAAAATTGAAAAAGATAAATACTCTCATGTGGGTTCAAAGAAGAATGACACTAAAGGTGATTCTTTTTGCTGAAACTTGTAGATTTTGGTAGAATTATTCGGTGGTCAATTTTGTGTAGTGATCAAACTAAATTCTATACAAAACCGATTTTCATTGAAATTGATTAATTTATAGAGATTTTTACATTGTTTTTCGGTAAAATTAGTAGGTGAATTGGTTAATAAAAATTACCACACTTATCTAAGTCTAGAGTTCAATTTGTTGATACACCTTGCCAAGTATAAAGGTGAATTTCTACTCAAATAGTCAAGCACCGATGTTTTCTCTTTCAGGTTGTAGGCCCGAACTTCCTCCCAACATTTATAATTTTATCTTTCTTTTCAAAAGAAAAAAGATATCAGTTTATTTTGGTTCATATATTTTTAACTTTCGTTCATTTTAGCCCCTATATTTCTGAAAGGTTTATCTTGGTCGTATACTTTTAAAAGTGACAACTTTATTCCATCCATTTTTATTTTTATCTCATTTATTTCAATCATAATTTTAAATAAAAACGAACTGAAGTTAAGAGTAGATGAATCAAAATATATTTTTTTAGTACAATATGTGGAGTGAGGATTTGAACTCATAATCTTCTAGTTGTAGATAAATATCATAACCAGTTAAACTATGCTCGAGTTGCCCAACCAACCAAAATAGTGCGGGTGTATATATATATTTGTTTATTTTCCTGATTGGCCCAAGAAGATAAGGGTGGAAGTTTGAATTTTTTTTTTTTTTTCCTTTTTCAAATAAGCCAAGAGTTTGTGCTCACAAATGGGTGGCCCAGTGGACCACAAACCCACCCAACAAAATTAATGGCTCACCCAATCCCATACTCTATCCATCTTCAATCCCCCTCTCTTTTCATCCCAAAAAAAAATAAAAAAACTTTCATGTGACTGACATTCATATTTTTGGGTTGGATTCTTCCCCCTTCTACTAAACCTCAACATTTAAATTCAACCTCTAAAGATTACCCATAGTTTTATATGATCGAGTCTCGACTTTTCTTTTACTAACTCTTCAAGATTTACCGCGTTTTTGTTCAACGTGTGTATAGCTAAGTTTGAATGATGGCAAACCCTCGTTTTTTTCCCACACTAGCCATGTATTGCTTAGATCGACTTTTTAATCCCATATTCAATATTGAAAAACGACATGTAAGAAAATATCACTAATGTGGGCAAAAAATAAGAATTTTTATCTTATTTTAAAAAGGTGAAATGTTTATTGATTCGTTTTAATATATTTTATGAATTTCTTAATCTTTATGATTTTTCTAGAAATATACATCCACGTAACCTTGTGCAAAAAAATACCAAATGACACTAGTTGAGACCGACTCAACTTAGTTCGTTTTTTGGATTTCGATTTGCAATCCTGAAAAATCAATAGAAAAGAAAATGAAAAAAGTGATTATCATTTCTATTTCTAGTTAAATAATTAAAACCCATAAAGAGCAACAAAAAATAATAGATATTTCATTATTGAAAAAGAAACAAAAATAAAAAATATTTTCCATTTTGATCACTCCTTGTCACATTCCTCCCCCCAAGAAACTCAATCATATATGGCTCATGAAAGCAACTCTCTTGTGCAGATCTATGTACTTTTGCACCATCTAAAAACAAATCTATTATTTTTAAAAATCATATTAAAAAAATAAATAAATAATCAAAACAAATCACAACCATTCATTTTCTCTCAGAAAACTGATCAAATTTTTATCCAATTCCTATAATTTTGATCACAACATAACTCTAGACAGCATCCACATTTCCCCCACAGAATCATTGTATCACATCTTGTTATGATTGATACCAAAAAAAAAAAAAAAACATAAATGAGATAAATAAATAAATAAATAAAACAATCTAATTTCAATTTGATCCCTACACATTCAACAACGTAAACAATTTTCTTACCTCGTACATTTTCTTTGGACACGACAGAGATAGACGATAAGTCGGTGTCCAAATAAGCGCACGACTAACATCCGAAACCAAACACAAATTATAATATTACAACAAAGAAAAGGGAGGGAAGCAAAATAAAAATAAAAATGTGATTAATCTTTGTCACTGTCCAAACATGCCATGTTCCCTTCAATAATAAAGTTGTTTGTTTCTTTATTGAAGCTATGTATATAAAATATGAAGCTACATGAATTTTTTTTTTTTTTTTTTTTTTTAAGCTTTAAGAATTAAGAAAGATGCAAAAGAGGGGATAGAAAATTAGGGTGTTTTTGGAAGGCTCCAAAGTGACATACTAAAGAAAAAGAGTAAAGAATTGAAGGAGGCTTCATCCAAACAAGACCCATGTGGCTTGATTAGTACCTGTTCCCATAACCATACAGAAAAATCTCATATTCAATGTGCAAAAAGACAACCACTTTGAGAGAATAATATTGTTAATTTATAACACCATTCAAACTAGAAAAACAATATATATACATTTAACTAATTTAGCAGCAGTGTGAATGAGATGAAACTATAGTTTATCAGCTTTTCGGGTTTCGACCGAACAGGACGAGTAGGCTAAAGTTGAAACTGGATCCCCCCAACTGTGTTGACAAAACAGTCGAGATTGTGTGTGCCGGTCGATCAAAAAATTAACACAACATGTGGGGATGGAGAATCGAACTCACAACCTCTTGGTTGGAGATATACATCAATTACTGCTGAACTATACTCGCTTTAGCGGTTTGGAGTGATTCTAAGTCATCTTTAACCCTAAGGAGTAGTGATCCCAAACTAGCAATGTTTGCAAAATCTAAGCTACAAGATATGCAGCATCGAAAGAAAAAGTGCATCTTATGGGGAGGTACATGAACTTATAGTGAATACACTCGGATTTGATGCCTTCGTCCTTCGAAACGACGACATTGGGGCTGAGCTCCTGAGAACTAAAACTAAGCAACCAGTTAGCAGATTGCCCATGTTCATATTTTGCGTTCAGAGGAGACTCTATGTTCTAAGTTCAAGCAAGAACCCACGACGCTACACTCTGTTAGTAAGGACCTGAGATGACCTACTCGTTTAAAACTATTGTTATCTCCTGGAACTAGACTTGGGGCGGACGAAGCCTCCCCGATGGCCAGGGAGGGTGGGCCATGAGCATAGGGTGAGGAGTGAGAACAAGTTAGAAAGCTAAAGCCAAAACTACACTTTTTTTTATCTTCAGCTGAGTTCTAACTACACCTTCACATCATCAAAGAGAGTGATTTTGCAAATGTTATCTTCTAACAAGTTATTCACTTATGAGAAATTTCAAAGCAGCTAAAGAGAACCAGAGACCAATGCAGAACTAAATTTATCACACCAAAAGTTAAGAGCACATAATTACCCGATAAAACAGAACACTTCTAGAATGCACGTCGTCACCGCTACTTCCTTTCTTGACCTTGATAATTTCTTTTTCCTTTCAAACAAGGTTCCATGTTTGTCCTTGAACAAGTACAGCAACCAACATAGCCAGAAAAACGTGCATTTGATAGCAATAAAACACGAAACGAAGAAGACGAAATACCAGAGCAACAATGCCAGTGTTTGCAAAAGAAATAATATACTACTAACATGCTTGTAGTTAGATTTTTAGTTACACTAAGGAAGCTAGTCTGTCTGGACTCAAATGAATCGAGGGCAGAAATTGTAGCAAGAATGACAAGTAATGAAAGTTAAAGCTACTTAAGAGATACCACAAAACAGTTCAATATTATTGATGATTAATTATAGAAGTAGATAAATCGGAACCTCTGCCATAATAAGAGTTGGTAAGAACCCCAATCTCCCCTTTTTTCAACACCTCCAAGCTGAAGCAGAGATGAGCTCCCGGCGCTGCCAGCATAAGACTAGGGAAGCCTGGCGTTTCTCGACGTGAAATCCCCTCACAGAAGTTCTCTTTGCTACACATTCCGCTTGAGTTTCGGTGAAGTTGCTGAATGTTACTGGTGTATACCCGGCTGAGGCAAAGAGTGTCTTCCAAAGGGGCATTCTTTCAGGTCCCCGAAGCCGCCCCAGAACAGTGCTTTCAATTCTTGGTTGCAGAAGAAACCTCTCGATCTTGTTCACAGCATCCGAATTCATATTAACGGCATCCAGAGATTCCAGGAGGTTAATGTAGGACTGAAGTGCCTGAAGCAAATGCTGAGGGAATGGGAGGTCACTTCGATCACACCCCCGGTCCAAGGAAACCACAATTTTTGGCGAGAGTTGCTTGATGAAACGGAGGAGAGACGGTAGCAGTGCTGGTTGATTTGATGTGGACCATAGAGGGAAGTTTACTGCAAGAGCCTCGTTTTCGCTTGCTCGAGAAAATGGCAAGGAAAAGGAGTTCTGGTTCAAAGAATCAAAGTTAACCACTTCGAACTCAAAACTTATTCCAATGTCATTAGCAAATTGAGTAAGATTTTCGCGCATAAGCCCGAGTTCAATCGGATGGTGAGTGGAGGGAGAGGCAAAAGCAGTGATTTTTAGCGATGGTGCACCCCGGTTCCTCAAGGACAGTTCCTGCATAAACGAAGCCCACTGAGCTCCGAAACCAATATCGAAATCTACAATGTGAATTTGATCGTCATCATCAAGGGCCTCGAGCAGTGCCTGGTTGCAGGTGAAATTCACAAACTGAATGAGCGGGGAAATTTCCGAGAACACCTTGTAAGCACCCATCTTGAAGATCACATCAAACGGTGTCGGGCAGCGAGGTGGAGGGGGATTAACTGGGTTGTTCATAAGGAGGAGCAATTGAAGAGCCTCCTTGAAGTAGAAAGCAGCCCTTTGAAGGGGCTTTCCAACAGGTGAGAGCTGGTGATTGAGCCGCGCCAATATCCCTTGCGCGTGTGAGAAATTCCCAGTCCCTACCAGCTCCGCTGCCTTGTAGAGCTGGTCGAGCAAAGCATGTTGCTGTGGGGGATTGTGATACGTCATTTCATCACCGCCAAGCCCAACAACTTTCGGCTTCGGCGACAATGCCTTTTGCTGAGGAAGAAACTGCAACCCTGGCGGATAACCCAAATGCTGCTGCTGCTGCTGAACCTGCAACTGATGATTCCTCAGAAAAATCTCATTCCCTGGATCCATAAACGGAACTTTTGGGATCTGCCCGTTCGGGAGGTCGACTCCACTCGAATTGTGCCTCTTCAGTTGAGGCTGCTGCAGCTGCTGCTGCTGTTCCTGTTGACCAAACATCAACGGCACAAAAAAGCTTGGATTCTGAGGCTGCTGATGCTGGTTCATCATAACCTGAGGGTTCAAATTCTGAGGCTTCTCATCTAAGCTCTCAAACGGCTGAAGCTGCTGCGGATAAACCATACCAGAAACAGGAACAACAAGATTCTCAACAGACCCAGAAAACATGGGGCTCTGCACATTAAAGTTTCCATGGCGATTGTTCATCCCCAAACTAGAACTCTTGTAATTAACAACCCCACAAGAGCTTCTACTCAAAGACTTGTTCCCATTAACGTCCGAAAACCCAGTACAAACAGGAAGAGGAAACGATAAATTAGGATTGATGTTGGCAAGAACATTACCGGACCCGGGGTCGAATTCGGAACCCTGATCGACGATTCCGATACCAGCATTGCCCTCAAAATCAAACCCCAGATTCCCATTCTGCAGAAGATTCTTAATCCCCAGAGTGGGATCTTCCACATCCCCGGCGATCCACCGGAGAAACGACTGCTCTGGCCCGGCCGTCTCCGACCACATACTCTCCAAATCTTCCAATCCAACCCCACATCGCTCTAACGCACCGGAAAAAATCGCCGTCCCACCGGCCAGAGGTTCAATCCCCGACGTAGCAGGCGTCTCCGGGGGAAGAGAAGGAACACATCCGCCGGTGTTTTCCGTCAAAGCTCCGCCGCCGCCGCCAAAGGAAGAAGACAGAGTGGAGGCCGATGTGGGAGGGCTGGGGCTTCTCATATGAAGAACGGAGGTGGGTTCGTTGTTGGGTAAAAGAAAATAAGAAACCCCTTCTTCTTCTTCCTCTTCTTTGTCTTCTATTTCTTGCTTCTGCCCTTTCTTGACCCACTTTTCTGCAAAACCAGAGCAAATCGGAGAAGAAGGTGAAATCTCAAACTCCCCCTTCTTCTTCCCCTGAAAGTGAAACGAAATACTACCCCTCATACCCAGAGCGCCCTAAAAACGCCGTCGTCGGACAACCACAACACAAAATTCCACAGGGTTTCGCTCAAAGGGTTCTTCAAATTGAAACCCACCATTTCTCCTTGCATGCCATCGAATCCAATCCCTTCAAAATCAAAACCCCATTTCACTACAGATTCAAATTCCCCATTTCTTCTTCTCACTAGAAACCCAGAACCTCCTCTTCCTCCTCGCTTCCATCTTCATCTCTCTCTCTCTAACTCCATTTTCAGCTCCTATTTCTCTCTCTCTCTCTCTCTCTCTCCTCTCTTTTCTTATCACTTGGGGAGTTGGGTTGGATTTCTTCTAGCCTTGTGTTGTAGCAGTGGTCTGTGGCCTTCTCTGTTCTGCCATGGATGCGTACATCATAAAAAAGGCAATAAAGTGTACGCCCTTCACTCTCTCTCTCTTCTCTCTTCTCTCTTGGGACTTCTTTTTTGTTTTTCAATTTTTTAGTGTGAATTCTAAAATGTTGGCCCTTTTTATTTTTCTGTGTCACTCGCTCGCTCCCTTGTAGTGGGATACTGTTGTCTCTCGCTAATTTCAGAAAGCCCAAAACCAGGCGAAGGGGGAGGGGGAGGGGGAGGGCTCCACTGCCTCTCAATTTGAAGATTAGAAGAGACCAAAATGTTTTTTCTTACCACTTTCTTCTCCCTTCTCTTCTCTTCTCTTCTCACTTCTCCACCACACCAAATTGCTTCATACTTCCACTTCAAATCTCCCATTTCTATGCTTTAGGAGGGTTTTGTCTTTGTTTTCCTTTTCCCCTTGGAAAATACTAATGTGGATGTCCTTAGAGACTTCATCATTTTTTAGTAACTCGTCTCGAAATTTGAATCTTTCGAACCTTCACGGACGTGAAATAGTGATGTCTTGACGAGTTGAGTTATGTTCATGAGCATCTCAGAGCTCGATTCGTAAAATTTGCGTTGCTTGTTTCTTGTTTTTCGTTGGAAACATAGCATTTGGTACATGTTTCTGTTTCTCTCTTTTTTTTTTAACAATAAAATCAAGTTTTTTTTGGTTTCTTGTTCATGTTTTCCGTTTTTTCTAACACGTAGAGTGAAGTATTATTTTTAAAATGTATACTAAATATAGAAAAATAATATAACATTAAAAATTTGAATATGTAATTTGAAAAATTAAATTTCATAGGGAACTTTTATTGTTTTTTTTAATCTAAAATTTTAGATAACAAAAAACAAAAAATAGTTCCACTTTTTCAATAAAAAAAAAGAAAAAGAAAGAACAGTAAATAAAACAAAAACCGCCTATTAAACTATTTTTTTCTAATTGACAGAGATGAAACTAAAAATAAGAAACAGAAATATTATCACGCATTAATGTTGAGATGTTGAAATATAAGATGTGGTTAGAAGGATGATTAGATGTATAATATATTTAAAAGTTTTAGGGACTAAAATGAAATACTTAGGAAAGTTTAGTGACTAAAATATAATTTATAATTTTAAGATTAATTCTTTATTTTGTCGGTAAAGTTTAAAAATTTTCATTTGTGTAGTAAATTATTTAGTTAATTTACATGTTTAGTTCCTTCAATTATTGGAAGATATAGCTTTTAGATTTTAAATTGGTACCTGATTTATTAGACATTATTTAAAATTCATAAATATATTTGACACAAATTTAAAATTTGATAGTCCCGTTAGAAAAAAAAAGGAAAAAGATTAAAACGTCTAGATCAGATCTATGAGACAAAAAATTTTATAAATCTATTTGATGCTTTTTAAACGAACCTTAAATTTAAATGTATTTTGAAAATATCTAAAAAATGTAGATTATATAATTGAATTTCAAAGAAACAATGATACTTAATAAGACATATCTCTCCAACATGAGGTTGTAAGTTCGATCCCTCGCTCCATATGTTGTACTAAAAAATATACATAATTTGGCCTAAAGTTTTCACTTTAAGTCATAAATAATCATAATATATTTGATTAAAAATTCTAACTTCTTCCAACCTCTTGCATTGTTTTACTTTATTGAAATTAATATATTTTTTAATGTAATAATGTCGGTTTGAGATTGAACCTTCAATTTTAACAAAGATAAAAAGTATAATATTTATCTATTGAGTGATGTTCAAATTGACTATTTAAACAAAATCATAATGAAATACTGGACAAGTTAACCTACACTATCATTTTTAACTAGAAACATTGCAATTTTTTATGTAATATTTGCTCAATTATTGTTCTTTAATCACTTCATCAATCTAATCCGGGGTATTTTTAATCTTAAATTTTAGTAAATTAGTTAATTTTTTTAATGATAATTTCCCATGAGCTAATCCAAATTTTAAATCGAAATGTCTTGTGTAAGTTTAGTTTTTTAATTTTAGACATATTTTCTAATTATAAGAAAATATTTATATAAAAAGAAAAAAGAAAACTTCAAATTCAATAATATCCATAAGAAATATAAGACATATCTTTGTTACATTGGTTCTTTTTTTATTTGTTCATCTTAACGGATTTTTTTTTATAGTATAACATATAGATGTGGATTCGAATTCATGATTTTTTTTTATCAAAAATAAGTGTCTTAACTAATTTTTTTTTTTTCTGATGTAAGTCTTAACTAGTTGAGGTATGTTCTGATTGACATTTTAATATGTTACGCATGGGAGCGTTAATGTGTTACACATGGGAGCCTTAACTGGTAATCCAGGGCCTACGAGTACTCATTCATATGCCAATAATACCAACTAATAAAACAACATTTTTTTAATCATTAGATTTGAAAATATTGTTTTTGTTTTAATTAATAGTTTTTTTTTCATGTTTTTAAAATGCTGTTTTATATGATTTTTCAAGTTTTTTTTTTAATATTTTGTCTTGAACATTGTTATTATATTTGATGTAAAATTTATTCTTTTTCTAATAGATATTTATCTCTATTAATATTTAATTACTTTTTAATTTTAAAATGTTTAAATATAAATATAAATATGAAATTTCTTTTCCCTAAAACTTTGATTTCGAAATATAGATTTTAATTTCACCCCTCGTTCATGTCTAGGGGTTTGTTGAATAAAGTTAAAAGTTAAAAGGGTAAAGATTAACTTTTCTCTTTTTTTTTTTCTAGAAAAAAATTACATTGCTTTTAATTTAAAATTTGGTTTGTAAGGAATTCGCTATTTTGTGTTGTGATTTGCATCTTTTACAAATTTTAAAAATTATATAATACTTTAAAACCAATCAAAATTTTTCAATAGTTATATAAGCAATTATTTTAGGAACAACAAAAACAGTGCAAAAACTAACAAATACCAAAATTTATGATACATAATAATAAAAAAATCTTTTGTATTAAAAAATTATTTTGAAATATTGATCTTAAATAGCCCTTTCTTTATTTTTATCTATAAACTTAGTTACACTATCTATATTATAGTGTATCAAAATATATATATATATATATATATATATATATATATATATATTAAGACTATGACCCCTCTCTCTTATTAATTGTTATAAGAATTTTTGTGATTCTATTTAAAAAAAAAACACACTTTATTTGAGAACTAAAAAAAAGGAGTTTCCTGTCAAATAGGTATTTGATTTAAAAAATCCAATATTTAGATGAATATAATTAATCAAATAATGTGAGGAAATTTAACTTTGTGGTAGAAAATTTGATACAATTAAAACAATTTATTCGTCAATCTGAGTTATCTCAATTGATTAAATTACCTATCTCCAATTAAAAGATCTTGACTTCGAATCCCCACCCTACATGTCGTACTAAAAAAACAGTTTATTCAAAATAATGGTGAATAAGATTATGTTAGTTTTTATCATTTAAATTTTAAGCTTTTAAAATAACCTATATTTGGTCCATGTAAAAAAATGTATTAATTGTTCTTAATTTTATAGAATACCTAACATGAATGTGGGTAAGACATACGTTTGTTCCTTTATTTGAACTCATGTTTAATAGGTAAAATGTCGAAGTTCAAAATGAAATAATTTTTTTTTCATTAATGAAAAATTGACAACATAACTAGAACAAAAATATATTTAACAAACAAGACTAAAATAAACATAAAAATAAAAATAAAAATTCAAATTGCAAGTTAAAGAATAAACATGATTAAATGAGAAGTTTAAAAAGTTTCTAATATGTATTTAGAATTTGAAAGTTATATTTGTATAATTCTTATACTTTAAAAGATTTATAATATATTTTTGAAAGATTTTTAATTTTGTGTTTCATGTTCAATAAATATGTCATGTTGGATACAAATCCTGGCTTGCCACGTATTATGTTCGAAGAGGCGAATAGAACCAACGCGTACACAAAATATGAAAATTGACACCAAAACACTTAGGTCGGCAGATGGAGTATGAGCTAGGACACCGAGCCGACCTATGACAAAGTCCGTAACGCGGTCTCTTCCGAACCCGACAACACGCCGCGTTTTTAGGGTGTGTCAGAATTCCTGTCGGGCTCAATTTCTATAAATAGAAACCCTTGTCTTAAATGCAAGGTACACAATCCTAGATAAACTCGACGAGTTAGCTCAGACTAGAACTAACTTGCTCGTCGGAGTGCTAACTTTGTTTTGCAGGTTTCATGAGTGGTCTGAGAAGGTGTGGAACAGCGGCCAATAGGTCATCCCGTACGTTCCGATCCAACGTTAATCCGAGCTTGACAGTTTCGAGCTCAAACATGCCACCTACCCAAATGCTTAAACTTGCCCGAAATCATCCAACTACGTAATTCATGAATAATAAACTCAACAAAAATATTAAACCAACGGAGTTGATAATAAAGACCTATTAAGAACCTTTTAAAGCTAAAAAATGAGAGAGATAGAACTTTGAAAGTTTAAGAACATATTAAAAAAATTTCTACTAAAGTATTAGGACGAAACAAACCAACCTCAAAACTTAAGGGACCAAAGTCGTAATCTAATCGATATTTAAAATGTTGTAAGATATAATTTTGTTTTATATTATTTATTTATTATTATTACTTTTTTTTAGTTCAACAAAGGAGTAGAAATGTCAACATTGACTCGTTGACCAATTGATTTTGAGGTTTAAATATTATTTTAGTTCATATATTTAATTAATTTTGATCATTTTACTTTCAAAATATCCATTTTTCCTATACTTTCAATTCTTTTTCATCATGGTAAGCAGACAATGAAAATTTTGGTCTCTACTAACAAAAAGTAAATGCAACGAAAACCACACAATACAAATTTATGATAATATTTTCAATAATTTAACGAGTGAAACGTCGTGAGATCGGGACACGAGATAAAAAAAATAAAAATGAAATAATCAAAAGGGTCGAATTCCATTTTCAAACATTGCTTTAATTAACCAATAGAAATTTAAGAAAAATTTTGAATATGATTAGGAAGCCACAGATCTAGATGTGTGGTCAAGATCAAAGATCGGTAGAGAGAGAGGGAGGAGAGAG